TATTGTATAATTAATCTCAATAAGTAAAAAATATAGTGACAATTAGTTTGACAGAATTGTCACTTATTTCAAATTTTAAAAATAATAGTTGGGTATGGTGGATTTCATTTTTTTGCAGTGTTCTCACTACCTAGAATAAACATGAAATATATTTGTTTAGTTAAAAACAATAGCATACTTTTTCGTTTTGTTATCTGTGCGAAGATAAGCTAATATTCATCTGGGTATAGAAAAAAAAGATTTTGCTTATCGTTTGCACAAATTTGTAAATTTTGCTATTTCAAAATGATCTGGTCATAGTTTGCCTCGTAAAAAAATTGATAAGTTCTGTAAATTATAGCAAAAAAATATTTTGCTCATCAATATATTTTGCTACTTTCTTTTTAATAATAATAAAGTATTTTGACAGGTTAAAGTAGATAAATATTAATTATGCTTAGTTTATTTGTAAGAGTTTCTCAAAGGTAATTCGCAGGTCCTCTTTTCTTTGTCATTAACTTGACCAAATAAAAACTGACACTAAATTGATAGAAAAGTATATGTAAATGATATAAGTTTACCAAGAATTAAATAATTAAATAACAGTTTGAAAAATATCACTCAACTCAGTTAGATATTCATTACAATGACGTTTCTCTCTTGAAGATTTTACATGTGGGTAAATTTAAAGATGCTATGTAAATTAGGCTTCAGCAAGGATGAGCCGTTTACTGCGCAAATCTTTAATATCCAAAATAGTGTAAAACAATCCAGTAGAAATCAATTTTTTCGTCGTATTTTTTTCACAGACCGTGAAACAGTGTGCACGTGTATTGTTAGCTCCTCCAAAAATTTGTAAAATAAGTGGTACAAAGTGCTAGAATCCATAAGAAATTTATGTGAAGACGATCCTATGTGAAATATAGCTTATATATAAAGAGAACTAACTGTAATTTATAATTTACTTTTCAGTAAGAAAACTGCATTTGAATGAACAATTATAATATATCTATAAGGTTTAATTTTGTAAATTCACACCAAGACCACTTTTTACATTAATAATGATAAGGCCAAACTATTTAAATTAATGTTCATTCCACCACAGTAGTCACATCAGAGAATAGGTACATGATGAGTGATAATGAAATTTCTAATAACTTAACAAACTCACAACTGTATGGATTGCTGGTTAAAGTTATTAAAAACCGAACAGAAAAACTTAAGGCAGAAATAAATAAAAATATTCAGGATCTTTCTAAAAAAGTAGATTCTGTTGAAAGTAAAGTTGAAACATTACAAAATAAAATATTATCACTTGAACGAAGATCTAGACGTAACAATGTAATAATTTTTTGTATAAATGTGGACAAATTAAATCTGCTGAATAATTCCCTACAATTTTTAAATAAAACTCTTGGCACAAATCTGGAAAGGAATGACATAAATAATATATATCTTGGAGGTAACAAAACCAAAGACAAGCATCATATTGTTATTGAGTTTATTTCCTATCTACAGAAACAAGATATTATTAAGAATATTGGCAAACTAAAGAATTCTGGAGTGGCTATTGTAAACGATATGTGTTTTGAAGATAGACAAACCCAACGTGTATTAAAGGACCACCTTAAAAACGCAAAAAGTCAAAATCATCAAGTTAAGATTAAAGGATCTAGATTGGAAATTGATGGAAAGTTATTTACCCTTGAAGATCTAAAGAAATTAAAAGAAGAAGCGTCTGAGGAAGAATTTAGTGAATCAGAAGAAGAACAAAAGGAAGAGTCCCCAGAGAAGATAGAATCTACAAAAACTATATTAAAACGAAGAATGCCTAAGATTAGTTACAGCCCTCTAAATGAGCGAAATCTAAGAAGCAGGAAAAAGTGAATCACTCTAATTTGTTTTATTTGTATTTGTAATTTTCTTGGTATTTAAAATTTCATTTTTTCAGAATCAACATTTTAATTTCTATTGATTAGGTACAGAGCAATCTTCTTATTATTTTTGTTTCAGTTCACATTTTTATTCCAATTTACATTTTTATTTCAATTTACACTTTTAATTTTCTGTAGTGTAATAAATCTATAAACAAATTTTTGCTAGGATGAAACTTAAAGAGTTAAAATTAGCTCCTTTAAATATCCGATCGCTACAGCCGAAGATTGATATTGTGCGAAATTTAATCTTTAAAGAAAATTATGATGTACTGGCTTTATCAGAAACCTGGCTTAGTTCACAGATAACCAATCATTTTATTAATATTGAAGGATATAATCTGATCAGGAAGGATAGAGGGTTTCGGGGAGGAGGTATTTGCTTTTTTATTCGAGAACCATTAAAATTTAAGAAAATAATATATACCCAGTTAGAAAATAATAATTTTGAACAGTTATAGATATCATTTTAAATTTCTGGTTTAAAAATTTGCTTGGATCATAATGTAATAGATATAACTGTAAATATGGATGTTCCAAAATTACCACCTGTTTATAAATTTTATCGTGACTTCTCTAATCTTATTCTACCGAATTTTAATAATGATGTACAAAATTTTAATTGGCACGAGATATATAATTTTGTAAATATTGAAGAAAAAATTGTTTTTTTAAATAAATCTTTTATACAAATATTTAATACACATGCTCCCATAAAAACATCAAAATTTTCAAAACCATTGCGTCCGTGGATAACACCTAATATTAAAATAATGCAAACACTTCGAAATAAAGCTCTATCAAAATATAAATTGACCAATAATACAAACCATTGGAATTACTATAAGCAACTTCGAAATTATACTACATTAGCTATTAAATCAGAAAAAAATGCATTTTTGGAGCAAGCTCTACAATCAGCGGACAACAAAAATAAAAGGAAAATTTAAAAAAAATTCAATATAATCCCAACAAAAAATCAAAATAATTTATATATAGCTTTAATACTGACTCAAACTCAATAAATAATCATTTTTTAAAAATAAATGGAATAAAAAAGGATCCAGATGTAGATACCATTAACTTTTACAAAAAAAAAAATTAAAAAGGGACTTTGAATCAAAATTTAAATTTCAACCAATTGCTGAACATGATGTAACAAACTTTATACTACGAATTAAAAGTAAAGCAACTGGATTAGATAATATTAATATAACACTTATTACATTCTTAATTCTTATGTCCTCATATAATTCCATATCTTACGCATGTGATTAATTTTTGTCTCACAAATTCTACCTTTCCTAGTTGCTGGAAAGAAGGCTTAGTGTCACCTATTCCTAAAATTAATTCTCCGTCTAGTCTAAATGATTTACGACCTATAACTGTACTCCCAACTTTCTCTAAAATTCTAGAAAGAGCCATTAAATCCCAATTAAAAATTCACTTAAATACATATGCACTTATTCCACAAGAACAATCGAGTTTCAGAACAGGATACAGTTGCGGGACTGCTCTATTAAATATAACCGACGATATTCTTACAGTGTTAGATAGAAAAAAATGTGGTGTTCTAATTTATTTTTTATAGCAAAGCTTTTGACATGTTAAATCATGATATGTTGTTTGCTATTTTTAATTTTCTAGGTTTAAGTGAATCTTCCATCGAGTTATTTAGAAATTACTTTAAAAATCGGACAGTACAAGTAGGGTATGAAGGGAAAATATCTACGAAAGGATTAGTTAATAGAGGAGTACCGCAAGGCTCAATATTAAGTCTACTACTCTACTCAGTATACACCAATAATCTACCTACAACATTGAATCAGTTAAAAATGCATATTTACGCAGATGACACTTCTTAATTTTTTCTTCAAAGAGAACTCAAACCACGCAGAAATTGTGATAAACAATGAACTCGCTGCTCTTATCCAAGCCTCCAATAACCACGACCTAGAAATTAACACATCTAGTCTCAGATTGTATTATTTGGAAATTTTAAAAAGAATAAATTAGTTATCAACATAGGGAACAACAAATTACATATACTCGTAACCGAAAAAACAAAAAACCTAGGTATGATAATTGATTCTAATTTGAGGTTCCCAGAACATGTCAGTTTTATATTACAAAAATCATATGCAAATCTCAAATATCTCTACCATAATCGACATGCGTTGAGTTTGAAATTGAAAAGTCAACTTTGTGATGCCCTAGTGTTGTCACATTCCAATCATTGTGACTATGTTTATGACTCATGCTTAACGTACATGGACAAAAACAGATAGCAAAAACTTCATGTTTAAGATTAGTTTTTGATATTAGAAAATATGATAGAATCAGTCATACTCTACTGCGCAATCATTGGTTATCTATGGCTAACCGGAGAAAATTACATTCATTAACACTTCTACATAAAGTTATTTTAAAAGAATCACCACCATATCTATTAGACAAGCTAACGTATAGATCTGATGTCCACAATATCAATATTAGGCAGAAAAATCTCTTAACAATACCTCAACATCGTACTACTTTATTTCGAAGGTCTTTCCGGTTTAGTTTAGTAACTAGTTATAATAATTTGCCCACGGACATGAAAAAGTTAACTCTAAATAGTTTTAAAAAAAAGTTATATTTTAGGTTATTTAATGAACAATGCGCTGAATCATAGGGATTTTATTAAACAGCTTTTCTATATAAGAATATATAGCAATGTATTTTTTTCTTTTTTGTTTTGTTGTTTAACTGGGTTTAACTTTGTTTCACTATGAAATTTATTTAAAAAAAAAGATTCTTGAGGAAGAACAGCTATGCTGATCTTGCGCCTTTTAATTAGCAGTATATATTTACCTTTTATTTACCTTTTACTCGTATTAAATTGTGTTTTTATTTATTACATGTATTTCTTTTTACTGTTGGTTAATAAAGATATATTATTATGAAATAAAATGAATTTAGCTCAAAGCCGAATATCACATAAAATACAACGACCGTTTCCCCTTCCGAAAACAACTACTCCTTTGGCTAATACCACAATTATATTATTATTATCATATGCAATTTTATTATATTTACTATAGTTACCTGTGCCTCTTTATTATTTGCTAGCAGCATCAAAGTGTAAGCAATGGAGCCGGAAGTGGTATCATGTCCCTAAAAAAGAAATTCTAAATGTAGTGATTACGAAAGAAATTTAGATTTTTTTAATAATGTATTTTCCGGCTTTCTCACTGTTTTCCATTGCTAGTAAGAACAGCTCTGGTAATAAGAACCCAAAAGTGAATGGTTGATTGGGGAATTCTACCTAGGCATTTGAATTGATTTTTAATAAAATTAATTAATTAGAAAAAATCCCGGTCTTGGTGGGACTCGAATCCGAAATCCTTGGAATCGTAATTTCAGTAGTTGTTGAATTCATACCAAGCGGTTTTGGACATATGTGTGCTATCGCCCCCGAAAAATATTGCTCTACACTTTTGATTCACCTAGTATTTTATTGATATTAAAAAAAATTAAATATGAATAATGACTGAATATAAATCAAATAGTGTGTGTAGCAATAAATAAAATTAAAATCAAAGAGGAATATTCTTAAATATAAACATTCTCAAATATACAGGGTGATCAACTTATACTCCGGAGTTTGATATCTCCGTTGTTTTGAGGGATACAAAGTTTTAAATACAAATTTTAGATAGAGTCCAGCTCCCCATTTTAAAATTATTATTTTTTAATATACAGGGTGTTTCATAAAATCACAGTATACCAAAGTTTTTTTTTTTTTTTTTGGCATAGGCACATTGCCATTCAGCCAGACACTATACCAAAGTTATATTTTTTTAGTTGAACATCCTATATGTTATGTTGAATTTAAATTTTGCTCATTTTTTTCCATTCCGGCAACATAGGGTTTTATCAGATTCTACAGGGTACTTTTAAAGTAATGGCCACTTTTATGTGAAAATCTTAATGAAATCATTATTATTTAGAATCAACAATTGAGGCTTAATATCTCAAAGCCAGAATAATTTCGTAGTAGTCTAGTTTTGTTGAAACTCATCATGTTTTTGATATCTTTCATTTTCTGTACAGGGTAACCCAAAACTCACGACCATGATTTTCTCGGTTATCATAAAATACTTACAAAATACTTTTACTTTTGTTAAGCATTCCATCGGCCGGGATTTTTTTATTTAATTTAATTATTTAAAATTAATTCTGATGCCTTGGTAGGATTCCCCACTCGACCATTCACTGTTGGGTTCTTATTAACAGTGCTGTTCCTAAAGTGGCGCTGGGAAACAGTAACGAAACCTACACAGAACACGAGGCTAATGGCCTTAGTAGTCGATGTCGATGACACCAAATTAAAAAAAATACTAACTGCTATTAACTAAACAAAAAATTCGAAATAGTACTTAGAACAAAATAATTACACAAACTGCTCAAAATTACCGCCCATTACATTTAAACAGAGTTGTATTCGATATTCGAATGACCTCCCCACATTTCTAGCCATTGGAAAACTAATGCTTAGAAAAACAACCCTAATTCTATTTTGCATGTCCTTAGATCTAGTGAACTAGCTGGCCACTCAATTTGTCCTCCCCTACATATCCATCGTTCTGAAAATTGATCATCAAGTTGACCATGAATTACTGCAGTATGATGTATTGGAGCCCCATCATGTAGATACATTTGCTGACGTATACGAAGAGAAACATTTTTAAGAAGTATAGGCAACTGATTCTCCAAAAAGTCTAAATAAACTTCACTGTTAACTGTTTCCTCATAAAAAAATATGGTCCAATTACATAATCACCAACAATACCAATCCAAACATTTAAGGATAATCTTGTTTGAGAAGTAGTAACTATCTCATAAGGATTTTCTCTGGCATAATAGTGAAAATCATGTCAATTTATTAAACAATTTTTATCTCTTTGATCATGAATTTGTCATTGTGCCCAATTACAAAAGTTTATATCATCCAATAATTCCTGGTGTAACTGAATGTGATATGGGTGTATCTTATTGTATGATAGTATTTTTTGCACATTTCCATAGCTTATTTCTTGTTCCCTGGAAATTACTGCTCGTATACTTGTATTTGGATTCATTTTCCTCAGTAATAACGGTTTTCGTTTTTTTCCTTTTTTTCATACTCTACATTACCTGTACGACTAAATCCATGACTTTCTCAAAATTTCTTTTTTTTTTAGGCTATCGGTGCTCTGGGAATCTTTTATGATACACCCTTACTGTTAGCAAGCTATTTTTATGACATTCTCCTAGTATACAGATCATATCGACTAATTCCTCATTGGAAAAATTCATCATTCGCCAATTCCAATTGTATACACAATCAACAAGAAAACCCGAATTAAAATTCAAATATTAATTGACAATTAGTTGACAAACATAACATTACTTGTCAAATAAGACAGTCATGGCCAATTACAAGAAACTTTCAGTATTTGCCAAAAATATCGTTTAATTATTAAAAATCGAAAAAACTCTACGGCTATAACATTTAGATATAGCGAATGCTCAACAAAAGTAAAAGTATATTGTAAGTAGTTTTTGAAAATTTGAAACAACCGAGAAAATCATGGTCGTGAGTTTTGGGTTACCCTGTATACACAATGAAAGATATCAAAAACATGATAAGTTGCAACAAAACTACACTACTACGAAATTATTCTAGACTTGAGATATTAATCCTTTATTGTTGATTCTAAATCATACAGGGTGAAGATTTCATTAAGATTTTCACATAAAAGTGGCCATTTCTTTAAAAGTACCCTGTAGAACCTGATAAAATCCTATATTACTGGAATGGGGAAAAAGAGCAATATTCAAATTCGAGATAACATATAGGGTGTTACATTAAAAAAACATAATAAAATAATTTTAGAATATGAAGTTGGACTCTATCTATAATTTGTAGTTAAAACTTTTGTTCGTATCTCTCAAAACAACGAAAATATCAAACTCCGGAGTATAAGTTGATCACCCTGTATAGGTATATAAAACCAAAACTATAAAATAGATGACCGAAGTCTCTTTCAAATGAGGGGTAAGTAGATCGAAAAATAAAGACGATTGCCACTATACCTCCAGTTCTAATTTTAACCCAACCATCTTATATCACAAACAACCACTTGCAGGGCTATATGCTTAAGGAGGTCCTTTCGCCACACCTCTCGCCTCAAATGTTAAAAAAAAGTTATTAGAATATGACTAAAATTAATTTTTTTCTAATAGTTGAAGTCCTTGTATGTACAGTATTTGTACAGTGCCTCACGAGAAAGTAAGTCCTCAACAACAATTCTCGAATTATACTATTATTTATTGATTAGATGGAGTAGAAAAAAACTAAAAATAAGGTTTTTGAAATATTTGGATTTTGTTTTATACAATAAAATATATATAGTAAACCGTGGAACTTATTGAGAAATTAATATTAAAAAATCACAAAAAATTTTCAAGTAACCTAGTTGAAAATTTTTTGTGATTTTTTAATAATAATTTCTCAATAAATTCCACGGTAACCTATATATTTTATTGTAAAAAACAAAACCTAAATATTTCAAAAACCTTATTTTTAGTTTTTTTCTACTCCATCTAATGAATAAATAATAGTAAAATTAATTATAATTCGAAAATTGTTGTTGAAGTCTTACTTTCTCATAAGACACTGTACACACACATTAAAAAAAAAAAATCTCAAAAATTTGCACGGTAAGGTATAGTTAAAAGTTCACTATTAGATAAATAAGGACATCTACTATTAGAAAAAAATTAATTTTAGTCATAATCTAATATTTTTTATTTAACATTGGTGGCGAAAGGACCTCCTTAACGCGACATTGAATTACAGTGTTATGAAATGTGTTTACGACCGACTTACTCTATGCAACAAACCCTTTGAATTGACATGTAAGGATCACATTCCACGACCGTTTTCACCGTATTTGGGGCTTATCAGGTTAGAAGTAGTCAGCTCGACTATAATCTCTAAGCTTCTCTAAAAATAATTAAGCTATTTGAACTAAACATGAAAGTACATGAAATTAGCGCCGAGCTTTGATTTGGGTATTTATGTGAAGATGGCGTGACTTTTCGCACTTTATATGGGTTGTAACGTAATATACTTCCATATATGGTTTGCATAGCCAAATTTCCTTCAAAATAAATTACAGATTCTACTCGAACTGACTACTTCTCACCTAATGAGCCCCAAATTGGGCGAAACCGGATGTTAGCTCCTTAAATGTTAAATCAAAAGGATTATTGTATCAAGAAAATCGGTTAAGAATACGTTTTATAACACTATTATCCAATGACCAGTTGAGCATATAGCCCTAGAAGTAGTTGTTTGTGTTATGAAGCAAACGGACATGTTCCCGAGTTAAAATCAAAACTAGAGGCAAACGCCGTTATGTTTCTAAATATATACATATTTTTGATTCTATATTTTCCACTAACCTCGAATATAAACGTGTTGAGTTCTTCTTTTATTCCTTCATCATCGATTGCAGCTCCATCTTGTTGAGCCTTCAACATCAAATCCAACAAAGCAAGTTTTTTTCTTTGATCGTAATCTACGTCTTTTCCAAATACTTTCTTCTTCTCTTTAATTACATTAGTGGTAAAATTGTGCAAGGTTTCCACAATTTTCATTTCTTTTTTGTAAGCCGGACTTAGTTTGTAAATAAAAGAAAAGAATAACCATGGACGACTAGTTCTGTATATGAAGGATTCAGCATAGTCATGTACAGCTTTTTTGTATTCTTCGCAATTTGGATCTTCTCGAAGGGAGACACCCAGAGATGTTTCTAAAACCGATTTCAAATTAAAATATTATTTATGATTAAGGTAATATTTGGGAAAGCGAGACCGAGTAAGACGACAGGCGACAGGCATCAAGCAGCAAATACTGCCTTGTTAAAAGTGCTATCGCCTCTCTTTAAACGGTCGCGCTGTCCCAAATGTTTTTCATTTACATATGTTACCTAATTTGATGGAAGTATTAGATTATGATGTTACTTGTAACATCAGTTTTTTTTGCCAGTCAGTCTATTTAAACTAGTAAACTATGATAAAAGTTAAAATAATACTAGAATGAAGTTATTTAATGCTTGGCATTTTATATTATACTCTTCACAGTTTAACCACCCATTTTATTAAAATTTTTTTTTGAAATCAATATATTTTATTAACATCCGTTGGTTTTGTATAAATATTTTTATCACTGAATGTATGCGGTTATTGACATGGATAAAATGTTTCTAACAATACTTATCTATTCAAAAATACCTTGAAATATTATTTAACAAAATTACAGTTCATCAAATTTCTAGAGGTGTTCGACGCCCAGACAGAGAACGCGCTACGTGTGACTAAGATAGCTATTGTACAGTCTGCTAAACAAGTTATTTTAAATAGTTTTTAATATTTTTAGGTAATTAAATTTTAAAAGTGTGGAATAGTTTAGGGATTAAATTGGTCTGATTGGACTTTCTTAGAACGTTTTTAAAAGCAGCTAAAGATAGTATGTAGAATTGAAAATAATTATTATGCCATAAAAGGTGTTTTGGAATTCCTTCAACCTTTTGAAATTGAGTCAGAAAATATAAATTTTATAGGATAGCGGAAAATACCTATAATTTTTTTGTAGACCTTTGTAAATCGTGGAAATAGTTTATATTTTATTTCTACCTTATTAAGGAAAATGGTACCTATTATTAATAACGGTTATTTCTGAAACATTACTAAAATTTTCGAAATTTTGTTTTTCTACAAAATAATAAACTATACTATTTAGAAAAAAATTTATTTCTCTTATAATTTTATAAAAAATAACGGGAATATTTACATTTCTTGATCTATTAAACAAAACGATAAATTATCTCGACGAATGACACCATGTTCTAGTACGGAAGCTAGCTTTACATTTTTGTTGGTGGTTTCATGGGTTTCATATCAATTTTTTGTAATTGTAGTTTACACGTATTTATACATCTTACTACTTGTTTGCTTTATTAAAAAAGTGTGTTGTTGTGATTTACGTCGGAATAAGTCAAAAACAACTTGAAACCCCATATAAAATCAAAAAGGAGAAACGGAAAAAAATTGAGCCTGTAAATGAACACAACTCAGAAACAAAAATAGCTATCTAATAATAAAAAAATAAAATTTGATTCTTGTGCAGCTTCATCTATATCATTAACTGTTTTTGGTTTTTTAATGATTTTTCTTGGTGATGAAAATTCCGATATCTCACGGTTATCGATTCTTTTTTTCTCTCCAGAAATGCGGACGACAGTGTTTTTAGATACTCCTGTGGCTGCAGCAACACGATCATTTACATTTTTAAATGGTATTGAAGGTGAATTAAAGTTTCCTTCTCTTCTCATAAACTCTATAACATTGGCTATTATTTCGCGAGATTGACTGTTAATCACGCGGCCTCTTAATTTGCTATTAAACTCCATACTTAAGGTTCTATTAAACTGTATTGAGCAAAAAACACAAACGAAAATAAAAGAAATGTTTTAGCGAAATTTACATCTGACATTTACGTCTGAATGAAATAGTGAAATACTTGATGCGCAGAGTGTACTTTCATTGCGTAAATCCGTCGGGATGCCTGTCAGTAGTGCTTTCTCTGTCTAGCCGTCGAAAGCCTCTAGAAATTTGATGAACTAACTGTATGGTGTAATATTATTTTTTCAAAACTTTTTTATATTCGTAGGTTTACAAACTGACAACGAAACTCGTATATGGCTGTCATCTTGGATCCTGTGGATCGTCGACTATCTGCCTAAATATAACTGATAACTTTCGAGATACACGCTTAGGTCCTTTTGGCATTGCTACTGCGCAGGATTTTTCTCTTAAACGTTAATCTATACCACGTTCTCTACAAAACGTCAAACGATACATCAAACGTCAAACAAAAATGTCAAACAAACACGTCAAACGAAAACTTCAAACGAAACGTCAAACGAAAACGGCAAACTAAACGTCAAACGTCAAACGTCAAACGTCAAACGTCAAACGTCAAACGCCAAACGTCAAACGTCAAACGTCAAACGTCAAACGTCAAACGTCAAACGTCAAACGTCAAACGTCAAACGTCAAACGTCAAACGTCAAACGTCAAACGTCAAACGTCAAACGTCAAACGTCAAACGTCAAACGTCAAACGTCAAACGTCAAACGTCAAACGTCAAACGTTAAACGTCAAACGTCAAACGTCAGACGTCAAACGTCAAACGTCAAACGTCAAACGTCAAACGTCAAACGTCAAACGTCAAACGTCAAACGTCAAACGTCAAACGTCAAACGTCAAACGTCAAACGTCAAACGTCAAACGTCAAACGTCAAACGTCAAACGTCAAACGTCAAACGTCAAACGTCAAACGTCAAACGTCAAACGTCAAACGTCAAACGTCAAACGTCAAACGTCAAACGTCAAACGTCAAACTTCAAACTTCAAACTTCAAACGTCAAACGTCAAACTTCAAACGTCAAACGTCAAACGTCAAACGTCAAACGTCAAACGTCAAACGTCAAACGTCAAACGTCAAACTTTAAACGTCAAACGTCAAACGTCAAACGTCAAACATCAAACGTCAAACGTTAAACGTCAAACGTCAAACGTCAAACGTCAAACGTCAAACGTCAAACGTCAAACGTCAAACGTCAAACGTCAAACGTCAAACGTCAAACGTCAAACGTCAAACGTCAAACGTCAAACGTCAAACGTCAAACGTCAAACGTCAAACGTCAAACGTCAAACGTCAAACGTCAAACGTCAAACGTCAAACGTTAAACGTCAAACGTCAAACATCAAACATCAAACATCAAACGTCAAACGTCAAACGTCAAACGTCAAACGTCAAACGTCAAACGTCAAACGTCAAACGTCAAACGTCAAACGTCAAACGTCAAACGTCAAACGTCAAACGTCAAACGTCAAACGTCAAACGTCAAACGTCAAACGTCAAACGTCAAACGTCAAACGTTAAACGTTAAACGTCAAACGTCAAACGTCAAACGTCAAACGTCAAACGTCAAACGTCAAACGTCAAACGTCAAACGTCAAACGTCAAACGTCAAACGTCAAACGTCAAACGACAAACGTCAAACGTCAAACGTCAAACGTCAAACGTCAAACGTCAAACGTCAAACGTCAAATTTCAAACGTCAAACGTCAAAAGTCAAATGAAAACGTTAAACGAAACATCAAACGTTAAACAAAGACGTCAAACGAAACCGACATGCAAAACGTCAAACGTCAAACGAAAATGTCATGCAAAAGGTCAAACGAAACATCAAACGAAACGTCATACGAAACGTCAAACGAAACGTCCAACGAAACTTCGATTGTTCTTCTCAACGTTTATCTATACCGCGATTTCAGCATAAAGTCGTTTTTCCCGTTTGAATCAGACCAATAATAACCGAGAAACACGCTTAGGTCCTTTTGACTTTCGTTCTACGCAGGATTTTTCTCTTCAACATTAATCTATACCGCGTTCTCTACATAATGCTGATTTTCCCGTTTGAATCAGACCAGTAATAACCGAGAAACATGCTTAGGCTCTTCTGGCTATCGTTCTAAACAAAGAATTTTATCTTCAACGTTCATCTATACCACTCCCCCACTGCCCCGCTTCCCCGCTTTCCTCACTCTGTCTCCTCTTACCCAATATGTACCTCTCACTCTTACACATTGAATTCCCTATGTGAGCCCATAGTAGCTTAGTAAATCTACTGGTTTCATTCCCTTATAGTTTTTCTTTCTAAAGATTTTAAGTTGATATCATTTTTCGCTTTTGAGCTAGGACTTTTTTTGATATTTCAACCCCCTTCCCCCTTCAATTTTTATTCAGATTTTTTATAATTAATTGGTTTCGACCCCTTATAGAGCTTGATATTTTCTGAAAATTTCAAGTTTATATTATTTTTCGTTTTTGGCTTATCGTGAGGACAAAAAACGTGACCGACGATCATTTTTAAACGTTGTTTAAAATTTGATGAAAAAGATGTTGGTACAAAAATTTTAAAATTTTGGTTTCTCGAAAGTAAACCTGTTTACAGACTACTGTATGAAGAGTTAATATATTAAAAAAACCTTCAATGCATTGGCTCGATAACTTTTTTTATTCAGCGAATCTAAAAATTTACTTGGGTGTCAATTTATCTTAAATACCAATAAAACTAGTAAGATAATGTATATATCGCAGGCTTATAGTAAAATCAGTCTTATTATAATACGCCTAGGCTTTTTCAATACGACTGGGCATATTATAATACTACCCAAATAATTAAGAATCTCACAATTTGACTGATCATTTCAGGCGTATTATAACAAGCCTGTCGATTGTTAGTCTTATTGTTAAATTGAATAGATGCGCAAGTGTTTTAGAATAAGACTAGATGAAATCCGTCGTATTATAACGACTGACGATGTGCCAGGCTAATCGTGTTTATAATACGACTGACGCATAACTGTGTGCCATGCGAACTATCCTCAATTTTAAACATTCTAAACTATTTAAAATAAAAGATAGAAATAATATATTAGGATTCCACTCGACCATTCACTGTTGGGTTCTAATTGACAGTGCTGTTTCTATAGTGACGCTGGGAAACAGTTACAAAGCCTACACAGAACACGAGGCTAATAACCTTATTAATTAATGCCGATGACACAGATGACATAGATTAGGATTATTTATTACAGCATGGTCCGCTTTTATGACATTTGCTATAATTATTCTTGTCTTGCAAAAACACTTTTTAAATCCCTCATTTTAAATATAATTAATATTTTGCACAAATATTAGGTAGGTACAAAAAAATTAAAACCTCTAATCTACTCAACAACAATGATGATTGCAATTCGCCTGGCACATCGTCATTCTTATTATAATACGACGGATTAAATCTAGTCGGATTCTAAAACACATGCGCGTCGGTTCAATTTAACAATAAGACTAACAAGCGACAGGCTTATTATAATACGCCTAAAATTATTAGTCAAATTGTGAGATTCTTAATTATTTGAGTAGTATTATGATATGCCTAGTCCTATTGAAAAAGCCTAGACGTATTACAATAAGACTGATTTTATAATAAGCCTGCGACATATACACTAAATCAATCATCCATAAAAATATATAAAGAAATGTGTTAAGTCAACACTATTGATGTGGTATTGATTTTGGATTTTGCACTTTTTATTCTGAAATTTATTATATAAATTCAGCTTATTTGAGAACATTTCCTGCCCCTTCCCTTTTTTTAATGCCATTTTCAGCGTATCAATTCTAAAATTGTGTATCACTATAATCAATTTTGTATTTTAATTTGTTTGATAATGTTTCCCAATTTTTTGACAAAGTGGATAGAATAGGATCAAGCAAGAATCGGGCAGCCTCTTTATTAATTTGTGTACTTTGTTTAATTTATTTATAAAATGTGCACGAATTTTGAAACTTTGTGGTATACCATTTAAAAATAAAATACATTATCATCATCATCATCATCTGAATTAGGGCATGGTTCAACGCCCACTTGTACTGAAGCTCTAGGCTTATTGTACCCCTCACAGTTTCTATCCCATCAGATTGATTTTCTTGATGAATTCAAGAATATGTCTGATGGGCGCTTTCGCGATTTCTTTAGGTTCCGGATATTGTACCCCATTTAAGGTTTCGGCAGTGGCATAGTATGTAAATAGGAGTTTCGTCCTCCTCTTCACATATTCTACATAGGGAGTCATCAGATATCCCTAAGAGATTTAGGTGTCTTCTAAGGCCGCAGTGTCCCGTTAGGAGTCCTATTACGGCCTTGAGTTCGCTTCTGCTAAGGTTTAGCAGTTGGTGTTGTCTTTTTATTTGTTCCTTTAACACCCATTTAACATGTTGGTATGAGATACCACATGTGTGTTCTGGTCAAATAAGAGTTTTTTCCGCTCCCTTCCTTGCTAGGAGGTCTGCTTTCTCGTTTCAAAGCACTCCCTCATGACCTGGCACCCATTCAAGAGTGACCTTGTTATGTTCTGCCAGAGCCAGGAGGGACTGTTGGCAATCAAATATTGATTTAGATTGTACTTCTACCCTTTTTAGTGCTTTAAGGGCTGCCTGACTGTCTGTCATGATAACGATTCTCTTATCTCTAAGAGTCATTTAGCATGACTTTGGCGCAGGCATTTATTACTGTTACTTCAGCCTGGAAGACTGTTGTCAGTGACCCCAGGTTCAAACTAATTGTCCTCCCTGAGTTCACATGGTAGATCCCAGCTCCTGTGCTGTTTTTCATTTTCGAACCGTCTGTATACCAGATTGATTCGTTTTGTTTTTCCCTTTTTTCCCGGCTTTTGGCCCTTTCTGGTATTTAAATATCAAAAAGTTTCCTGAAGTCGTGAATAATGGGCGTTCTATCCGATGGCATTCTTAGTACCGGATTTTGTTTTAATTTCTCTAATATCATTGTGTGGTGTCCTTTTCTCGAAAGTTCCCATCCAAATCCATTAGTAAACAGCCTGTATGCCGCCGCCATAGCCTCCTTCTCCACCACAAGGTGTAGTGGAGGAAAATACATTATGTGTGAGCAAAAATTAAAATCTCAATGTTTGGCTTTACTTGTTGGCCGAACAAATAGATACTTACCACCAACTGCATATAGAGCAAATTCCGTAATTGGTTTAGTAACATCCACATAAGGTTGATGGCACAGTTCCTTGAAATTATCTACAAGTATTTGAACTTCTTTGTTTAATGAATCTGTAAACTCATGCAAAATATTGAAATGAAATGCTGGGGTTAATATTTTCCTTCTTTTCTGCCATTTTGTACCTTAAAAATATGTTTTTTAAATCGATTGATATTTATTTTAAATTCGACATACCTCCACTGGTTAGAAGTCCAGTTCCTAACCACGAATGAAGAAAATTATAGATGAAGTTCTTGGTGTTCTGTTTTTGATTGGTTAAGACACTCTGCAATACAGATATTATTTATTTAATAAATAATAAATTATATTAAAAATTTAGCTACAATGGCATCACATATACGCTGTTCACAAACTAAATTGAACTTCAGTAAAATGATCCCGTTTCATGATCATCGAGTACAACCGACAAAAGTATATAATTCCTTTCGAATTCAAATAATATAAGAGTAAAAAGCGATGAAGAAAATACTTAAAAATCAGGCTATGCTATAGACATTCTTCGAAGTTGAAAAGTTCACTGGAGATGCCTTTTGCTCTCTGACAACCGTTTTTAGGTAGAAACTAGATAAACCAAACTATAGTAAATAACAAAGAAATTTCAAAAACAATGCCTCAACACCTATAATATTTAAACAAATAAATTAGAATGTGGTTATCATAAAACGCCAAAAACTTACAAAAAAATTTATGTTTATCAATAAACGAAGCCGCAATATTTATTGGTGTGAGTTAACCTATTTTGGAGGCTGCCATCACAAGATTTCACCACATACTTATAATATTTAAGTATGTGGATTTCACAAGATTCTGGCCAAAGCGAGATATGAAGTTGGCTCGATAGAATGACCCGACTACACCTACACGGCTGGTAGGGGGCAGTCAAAGAAAGGTAAAAAATGGGATTGAATAGAACGGCATTGTATAGTAAAATTAGTAGGCAGCTCAGTATCGACAAGGTTTTAGACAGATTACTTCCCGATAACACACAGAATAGTAGTTTGTACTATAAGAGTGGATATGGACAATTCACTCGAGTTATACAGTATATTTTTTCCACGACCTACTAACGAAAGTCTAAAAATATTAGAAATTATTTGAAGTTAGGATAAAATAATTAATTTAAAAATAATTTATGACTTTTAATAATTTATCAAATAAAATAAACAAGAAAACAAAATAAAAAGAAATAAAACGCATTTATTTTTTCTCCATCTGAGATTTGCACTCGAGTCTTCCGTATAGAAGGCAAGAACGCTGACCACAGGACCATCTATGCGTTTATTTTTGTTTTGTTTTAATACTCGTAATCAAATTGACTTCATATAGTTTTATTTAAATTAACAAATTAACAAATAATTTATAATTATAGACAAAATAAAAATAGAAATTCTATTATTTATCGATTCTACACAAGAATAACTTATTTTAATGTATGTTTAATCTCAATAACTAAAAAATATACTGAAAATTAGTTTGACAGAATTTTCACTTTTTCAAAATTTTAAAAATAATAGCAGTCGGTTGATCAAAATATGAACGGTGATTGGTGGATTTAATTTTTTGCAGTGTTCTTACTACATAGAATGTATATGAAATATATTCGTTTAGTTGAAGGCAATAACATACTTCTTCGTTTTGTAATCTGTGCGTAGATAAGCTTATATCCATGTGGGTGTAGAAAAAAGTAATTTTGACCTCATTCTAGAGATGAACTAATGGAGCAAAGGTCATACTTTTCTTTTCCAGACGACAAAAGGAAAAAAGGCCGAGTCAATAAACATGAAAACTTTTTCTACGATCTACCAAGTCGAAATGGCCGCTATAAAATTATGAGCGAAAGAGCTGATCAGACTAATAAGACTATAAAGATCTTTTCGAATAGTTAGACAGCCCTTAAAGCTGTGCAATCCTACCGTTGGCTCCTACCGAGTTGATTCAAAGCTTGTTTGGAGCTGTAGAAATACACTCGAATGACTTGGTTCCTGAAGCAACGTTTTTTTTTATCTGGGTTCCGGGGTACATTGGGGTAGGGGACATAACACATGTTCTAAAAAGATACTCTACGTATAACTTATTCAAATGCATTTATACGGAACCGTTCTATGAATGCCTTTTCTCAGTTCAGTGAATAAGAATAATCTACTGTTAATTTTGTAGTGTAGATAACGAATATGCAGAACATATATTATGTACCTACTCGGCCTTGGAAAGAACTAGGTTTTTGATTTTTGATTTTACCCGATTGGAGCCGACCAACTTTAAACAAGTCTTATCTAGCTCAACCATGGCTTCAACATAAGGTGTGGTTTGTACGTTGAACGTAAATTTAGGCATGACCCACAATAGGTCCTTCTGGGTAGCAATGGAAGACGATGTAATTATTCTATGAAGTGTAAAGAGAAGGAGGACAATCTCATATAATTGTGTCCCCGAAAATGTATGAAATTAAGAAGGCGCTCGTGAAATAAAAAGAAAAGATTCAATGATATATAGTTATATAGATGGCTTACCCATATGTAAATCAGACAACGAAAAGCACTATTGTTGTCTATTATCAAAATTTCTCTACGATTATAAGCTCTGTCACTTTTCACGACTGCTTTTCATGATGTAGTTTTTAGTTTTTAGGCTATACCTTTCGAGCATATATGCCTTTACATATACACTCCATACATGTAATTCGATGATCTGAATTATCGACTGTCGGTATCCTTCTGGTACAGAAGCGCCATCTTATTTTCATATATTTTGAGGGATACTTTTTGGAAACAGATAAAGTTCTCCTTATCTTTACATTCCATAAAATATCCTAATTAAACTTCAACCTAACCTAACTCATTTTCTACAAACTTAAATGTTATGCAGAATAGCGCTACATACAAATTACATTACACATTAATTTGCATTTTAATTATGCTCACAAAAGAGTTAGATACTCTTAGTTGTATTTCCATTGTAATGGGTGTTCAAATTAAAGTGTTACAATTAAATACCGCCTTTTATAAAAAAACATTTTAGACGAAAGTTTTATAGTTTTTTGGGGCTAAAATCGTTTTTTTTTATATAGCTAACCATAATATGACCAACTTTTTTTTCGCGCAGTAAAGTATTCGAGTAGGTGTTACTCGATAAGTAGAAGTCCAATAAAAAAATGTTTATTTAAAAGTTTCTTATTTTTTTATGAACTTTAAGAATATGTAACAAAAATAGAGTTATTTTATGGTCAGCTATATAAAAATGAATTTAGCCAAAATGTTTTCCCCAAAAAACTATAAAACTTTTGCCTGAAACTTTTTTTTATAAAATGAATATTTTCGGCGGTATTTAACTGTAACACTTAAATTTGAACACTCGGTATACATAAAAATGTTGGCAAGTAAGGGAAATACCGCTGAACTTGATTGTTTCTGTACTAACAAATTACCTTAACTTTTGCTGTACAATCATGAATTGTTTTGAACATTTAAACATTTAAATCATTTTAACCGTACCTCCATATCTTCTGGGGACATAATCACAACAAATGCAAAGTCGAAAGTCCATGCCTTATAAATTGGATAAAATTGCTTAGCCCGGTCTCTTTCTTCATCCCATAATGATTCTAAAAAAAATAGACGAATTTTATTTTTTAATAGTACACCATATTAGTCATTAAAACAAAAAACTTTATTAACATTATTATCAGTTTCCTCTAAAGTTGCTCTAGAGAGTGCATCTGCTATGATTAGCATTTTACCTGGTTTGAATTTAAACTCTACATCATATTTTTGTATTTATATTAACATACGTTGTAGTCTTGAGGGCACATATTTAGTGGTTCTTTAAAAATTTTCACTAGTGGTTAATGATCAGTTTCAACAACTATGTGACAACCAAACATACATTCATGAACTTACTTAGTCCAAAACAAATGGCTAACGTTTCTTTTTCGATCTGTGCATAGCCCTGTTGTATTTTCCTCAGTGTTCTTGATGCATAGGCACATGGCAGATTACTTTGTAACAACACAATTAATTTATTATAATTATTTTAATTTTTATGTTTAATTAACTTCTACTCCAGACTTTCCACTGATAGGACTGTATCTTTAATAATATCAAAAAATTGTAAAACTGGACTTTTGGTCAGTATACTTTTAATTTTGTTAAACGCTTCTATTTCTTTTTGCCCCCATTTAAATAAGACATCTTTCTTTAATAATTCCCGTATGTGCTCAGTTTCTATAGACAAATTTGCTTTCGTATGTTAAAAATACCTAATAGTCGCTGTATGTCTTCTTTGCATGTTGGTATTGGCATTTTTTTTATTGCCTGTTTTATTTTTATCAGGCCCTATATCTTTGCTACTATTTATTTGTCCCATATATATTAAATTAGATTTTTTGAATTGACATTTATTTAAATTATATTTCACATTTCTTTTTTTTAGCGATTTCTAATACTTTTATTAGCCTTTCATCATTTCTTCCTCATATTATCGAATTATCTATGTAAATTTCAATACCTTCACATTTTTTAGAAATTTCTTTTAATATGTCCTGGAATACCTCTGGTGCGCTCGTAATTCCATAAGGTTAGTCTCAGAAATTTGCACAGACCTTATATGGAGTACCGAAGACACATAAGTCACTACTTTCTTTATCTAATACCATCTGGTAGAATCTACATAGAGCATGTAATATGGCATGTAATGTGCTAAAAACTGTGGCATTTGCCATTTTTGCTGTGATTTCTTTCATAGTAGGAATTAGACAATATTCTCTTTTTATATTTTCATTTAGATCTACTGAATCTAAACAAATTCTTAGGTCTCCATTTGGATTTCTTGTAATAACTAGGGAATTTACCCAATCAGAAACTCCTTTAACTCTTTCAATTATTTTATTTGACTCTGGGGTATTTAAGAACCCTCTTAATTTAGGCATTAATGCTAAAGGTACTCGCCTTGTCAAATGTACATGTACTGCCGGTTTAGCATTCTTTTTTAATTTAATTTTATATGGTTTGTTTAAATAACCTATTCCTTCAAAAATGTCTTTATATTTTTTACTCTATTTACAACGTTTTATGCAAAGCTCCTCTATTTACATTTAAAACCCGGTCATACATTGCAAAGAAACGTAGCGCGTAGCTATTTCGTAAATGAACCGACATGCGTTTCCTGGTGCGCTGTTGTCAGGCTGTGTAGTTTATCCCTTTCATATTTAAAAATAGTTTTTACCTATAACTCACTAATAGCAACAAGTTTCATTAATAAGAATAGTTTCGAAATATATTGCGACACATCAAGCGTCCCCACCAATTTATTTTTCGTACCTAGTGCAGTGTTTCCAACTCCGACGCATTGTGGGCAGAGATGTTGCAATATTTCCCGAAACATTTCTAATAGTAAATCTCTAAATAAAATGACTTGTAAAAAAACAAAAAACGTATAAAATGTGTACAAAGTAGATTAATCTATTTTAACTGCTTTCAGCAGACCTGATATTTTAGCAGCACCTATTTTTACACCATTAGGCAGGGCATTTTTGTACCTATCGTTTTTATATACATACGTTTGCTAAATAACAACTTTTTTTTTCTCGCTTTATTGGCAATGGACATTAGTCCTTCAGCCACACACAAATTGAAAGATATAACGTTTAAATATTAGATATTAATATTATTTTTTCTTACATAATCTACCAATAAATCGTACACAGATTGATTTCCAGTCGCGAGCAACACCTTAACACACGTAGGAAACTGAATACCTGCTTTCATAAGACCATCCCACAGGTCATTATTACAAAAACTCTTACAGCCGAAAAATGTGTGATCGAGATCTGCGACCTCGTTATCAAGAGAACATAGTGGAGAATCTGTTAGTCCTATTTTATATAAATGAGACGGAAAGCACCCATGGTTAATTTTCAATCTAGTTATAATTGTGCAGTACTTTTTATTAACTTTGTCATTGAATATGTGATATTTTATTTGGCAACTCCTTGTAGATAGAAAATATAAACTATTTGAATTTTTTGTTATTTCTCTCCAATATTTATTCCAATCTCTGTAAATACTATTTTTATATTTATCGTAAAGATCTTTGTAACAAGGATTTTTTAAAAGATTATTGCATACCCTTGCTTCTTTTGCAGCCTTATCAACTAACTCATTTCCATAGATGCCACTATGTCCTTTCGTCCATATGAATATAATTTTAACCTTTTTAACTTCTAACTGATTAAGCAAATCTTTTATCTTACATATAATAAAATTATCAAAATATCTTGTTGTTATATTTTTTATGCTCTCTAACACCGATTTTGAGTCAGATATTATTATTGCACTTTGTACCTTGTTTTCCGCATACCACTCCAAAGCTTTATGTATAGCGACAGCTTCAGCTGTAAAAATGCTACAAATCTCTGGTAGTTGAAATTTACACATTTATTTATTATTTTCTATATAAAAGGCACTACCGACTCCTCTCAGATTTTTACTTCCATCTGTGTAAATTATTGTATTTACTTTATAACTGCTAATTGCAGAAAGTAATGAAGTTTTATTATAGGAGAGTAATTCATTATAGTTCGAAATATGACGGTTGACTTTGAAAAAATTGATTCATAGCTATGTTTAAACACAGGTAACTTATTTGTTGTTTCAATAAATTGACTAAATTCATTGGTTTCAAGCAAAGCAGTTGGCAATAAAGGTGAGTTTTTTATTCTCCAGTAGCGGTTTGTTAAAATTTGTGTGTTCAGCCTCTATTTTATGTCCAAAGAAGGACCAATCACCTTGCGAATCACACCATTTCGTTGCAGGATAAATTTTTTTACTTTTATTTTCAATAATGGAATTAATTAATGTTGGAAAATTATCTGATCCGCAAGAATCAGGTAATACTTTCCAAAACATCTTATCAATTAAATTATGTGACATTACAGTGAGATCTACAGCTGAGGGATTTTGGTTGGGTCTAGTAACTCTTGTCGGACTGACGTCATTGATTACAATTAAATCATGGTTATCAAAGGATTCCATTAACCGATTACCTTGAACCGTGTTGTCTACACAGCCCCACAAACGGCTGTGACAATTAAAATCACCGGAAAATATTGTATTGTTCGAAAATTGTTTAAAAATATTATCCCAATCTTGAACATTAGCTATAAAATTGGGTGGTTTGTAAATTGAAACTACATTAAATTCACCACGATTAATTTGGACAGCGCATACTTCAATACCTTGATTGTATATATTTCTAATTTCTATTTTTTTATATTGAATGCTGCGATGAGTATTGCTACCCCACCGTAGCCGTCGTCTCTACATTGTTTTACAATATTAAAACCTTTCAAATTAAACATATAATTTTCCTTTAACCAAATTTCTGATAAAATTATTAACTAGTTGACTGCCGTGCTGGTCCCATGGGACCAGCAACGCATGGGTATTATACGCCACGCTGGTCCGATGGGACCAGCACATGTATTTGTAGATCTAAAGCTGCTGGCAAAAGTCAGGTTCTAATTATATTGTATAGGGGACCAGCATGGCTTCAAAGAATATTGTGGCGGTGATGGTTCTGGAATTTTTTATTTTGGAGACCCTGTGGTCCCTTGGTAAAAAAAATAAGTACGGAAATAAACTTTTATTAATTTAAACCCACAAATAAACGAAAAGCGTAAATATTAAACAATATTAGGTAATAAAAATAACTAGGTTGTTAGATGTGTTTCATTGAAACATGGTAAACATAAAAATTGTTTTTGTTCGCAATCTTCACAGTAAGTATCGACCTTTAGAGTTCTATTTGTAGCATATTTTCTACCGTGGGTATCATTATTTTTATTGTAGCAATTCTTACAACAACGCCTCACCTTGTGCTTATTTTCACCTTCTTTCTTTTTCAGAAAGTGTACGCGACGTTTCTTTACGGGCGGAGGAATATTTTCTTCGTTACATACAGAAATTAGGTGCTTTATCACTTCTCTTTTGAAAGCTGTGATTTTAATGTCGCTTTCATTTGTTTGTCTGTACAAAATATATGCTTTCACCATAGATGTTGTTAGTAACAATTCAAACCCTACTTTTCTGTACCATTTTATGGATCGGTGAAGAGGATTAGAATAAGATCCCATTTGATCGGATAGATCCACAGATCCTTTGCCACGATTATAGTCTAACACAACAGACGGTACTTGCTGAATATTTTGGTTCCTTCTCTTTTCGATGAGCGTATCATCATGTTTTGTTGATATCATAAGTACTTCTCTTTGATCTTTCCATTTTATAATCGTGATTCCTTCGGGGTTTTCCATAGCACATATCTCTCCCTTTTTTAATTTTTTATTGACAACTTCTTTAGGAATAAATCTACGATTTTTTTTTATTGTGCCAATAAAGTGGGTATTGGAAGATAACATTTTGTTGGCTAAAGGTAAACTTGAATACCAGTTATCCGTAACCAATGTCCTTCCAACTTCTAAAAGATCTTCTGTTAGATACAAAACAATAGATTCTGGAGTTACTGATACGTTATTCTCCTTTCCCGCATATATTTTTATGTTGTAAGTATAACCTAACCCAGAACAAAGCTTGAACAGTTTAACTC